AGGCATTATAATGAAATGTTTCATGTTAACAGCCGAGATAAACACGATTCAATAAGGAACAACCGAAAGTAAGAGAATCATGCAGGGGTAGCAGGATATTGAAGTTGCAATACTAAGGAAACATTATCTCTCATAGCATCAAATGGTTTCTCATCACACTTTAGAGTTCTGTGGAAGGTTCGATTTTTATTTTACGCGCGCATTTTTTTTGTTTCAGATGGAAAACTACATCCTGCTCCTAGCAGTGTTCTTGGTACATCAGGGCGTGGCACAATAGTTCAATGAAAGTAAGCTCTTTGCAAACTATACGAAGGTGTAGTCGATAACTTAAGACGGTATAAATCAAAGATTAAAAAAAATAATTGATGCGATAAATACGCAATATTGTAGATTGTTCTATTATATGTATTGTACGTTGTTCATTCGACGTTTACTGAAGCCCTGCGAAGTAGGGCGGCAAATTCTGGGAAAATAAGCATACAACGGAAACGAATCATAATTCCGTGGCAGCGCCTGTGCCATATTCAAATTAAAACACCTAATTGTTAATCGTCTGCTTGCACTATACTTACCTGCCTCGGACGTTTATGTATTGGCGAAGAACGGTATCCTTGTAGTTTTAATCGTTAATAAAATCAGTGTGATCCATATAATTTTTTTTCAATCTAGATCTAATAATAAATATAATAACACTAATTGTGTTGTATGTACCTTTATACAGCAAGAAGCTAGTGATCCCTAATGGGCGTCCAGTGTCTAAGTTGTAGATGATAAATTTGGCAAGTGCAGTTCAACTGCTAGCCTGGAACATTAACGTGCACCACGCAGTAGTGATACACAACCGAACGCCGGTACGATGCTCATCCAAATCTAAACGGGCAGTGGTGGGGATTGAACCCAGTATCCCTGGGCTCTTTAGCGCGAACTTTCCCTACACGTCCTCAAAGCTGAGGTGCGCTAAATCATTCAGTCCCCGATCCACCGATTTAACTTTTTCTAAGAAACACAAACTCAAAGCGTGGAGATTATCACTGCTTTGGGATTTCATAAATAATAAACCCAGACATACGCACTGGAAATCCGACAGCGTCGAGAAAAAGTTGCTATTACTCATCTTCAGAACTATAGGGTATAAACTATTCATTTTAACGATCCTTAGGCCACCTTTGAATTTTGCAGGCTGTGGACACGCAGAATGGGCCGGTTCCATAATTGTTGGACCCAAATCCCCTCAGCCTGGAGACTGGCCCTGGATGGTTCGTATATATTGTACTATAATTAACTAATATCGCGACTGTATGCTGTGGCGTATTGAATGGTTCGAAGGCTAGGTGCACCGTTTGCAATAAAAGTGCATTTGGCCTCTGGTTGGTGCTAATACACATCATGTATACCGATCAACACAGATACACGCGTTCATGATGAGGTAAGTAGCCAGTCAGAGCATGAAACCCTACTTACCTGTCCTTGATTCGATGAAGCTATCCCTCAAATCTAAGCAGACGTGCGCGAAGTTGGAAAATGTTATATGAGTCTCAGGCGGGGTATTAACGTGAGGAAGAAATCACGGGGATTTCTCCCTGGTGCTCGCGTAATGCAACTAAAACATGTGGCTTTTGACATGTAGCACTGCGATGTCAACTGAGCACCGGAGGGATACCCAGTTTGTACGGACATTTAGTAGACCGTATTCAAGAACTACGCTTTGCTAGCGGAAGCCCGTGCCGTTACCTCGAAGCATGGATTAAACACGGGCCCTCTGGGCCCACTTTCCGCAGCGTACGACCTACTAAAACCCTCTAGTATAAACAATTCCAGTTTAGCGGAGAGTCAGTTTGTTTTATATGTACGTTGCATTGAACGCTTTTTCTTTTTGTGTGTGTGTGTCAAGCATGGAAACCGCAAAATTTGTCTGCTTTGGTGTCGGGAGTCGAAAGCGCCAAATTTGATTACAAGCGCTGACAGCCGTCTCCCGGCACCTGGTTGCTGTGGACGAGGAAACTGAGAAGAGAACTGAGTCCGCTGTCGTTGCACGCATATCCCTCTGCGCATTTTTCCCCGTGTGAATACGGCGTAAAGGACCGCAGAAATGCCCCCCCCCCCCCTCATCAACATAAAGACTGGTTCGCACATTTGCGACAGTTGCGTTCGCAACAACCAAAACGACAGAACCATCCACTTTCTAATGAAGTCTTATAAAAAAAAAATAGTATATATATAGAGGCTATACATGCTGTTCTTCTTTTAAGCTGTACTGATTTGTTCAAAAAAAAGCCGTGAAGGCTACACTTACGCGCTTTTCTGCATACAGCCATGGGGCATAGTATAGGGGGCTGATCGTAACGATCAGTCGGCTAATTAAATATAATTTGTTAATCAACTTTTTAATTTGTTAAAATAGCCTTATGGTTCTAATTGTAAACTTGCTAAGCATCATCGAAAGCCGCGAAATCAACTGTTTTTAGGAAGATATAAGACAGATGCAGCCTTATACGGCGTTCGAGAAACAAAAAGACAAAACAAAAACAAAAAAAAAACGCAAAATTTGTATGCGTTTTTAGGTTTCAATAGGTTTTCTTTCTTTTTTTTTTCGGAGCACATCTTTGCGCCCGCGGTCCTGCTCCCCGGTGGTCGCGGCACGAAGCCACTCCCCTTGCCTTCCTCGTAGGATGGGGGGGAGTATAGTGCATGTGTGTTGCGCGTCACGGCCACTGGGGGGCAGGACCGTGGGCGCAGAGATGCGCTCCAACAAGAAACCGAAACCTTGAAACGCGTACGAGAGGAGCGTTTTTACGGAACGCCGTAAAATGCTGCCCCTGCATTATATCCTTCTAAAGAGAGATTATTTAGTAGTTTTCAATGACGCTCAACAAGTTTATAAAATTATTATTGAAACCATATGTCTATTTTTACTAATTAAAAAGTTAATGAACACATTCTACGTACTTAATTAGCTGACTGATCGTTAGGATTACCCCCCTGTACTAGGTTCCCCTGGCCGTATAACTCACACGCACAGACAGCATAACTGAAGCTCTCACGGCTTTTTCAAACAAATCTATAAAGCTTAAACAAAAATCACCCTGTAGATATTCTATTGAAAATATGTGCAATTGTCTATCCACTGACTACGTAAAAGGAAGGTTTGTCTGTCTGTTGCACAGGGGTTGCGATGACGTCAAAACGCCAAGCACTTATTGCCTGATTGGGAAAAAATAGTGGGTAGACCTCAAGGCATCTAGCAGTGAGGTCCCACTATCCTTCTAATCAGAGCCAATCAGAACTCGGCGTCGTTCTGAGGTCACCGCAACACCTGCGTAAGAAGCAGACGACTTGCTCCCCGCATAGCTCTTTGGCCGCTTTTTTCTGCTGAATATTTGTAGAACATAGAGATTTCAACAAGGTTTCTATACCCTTACAACAATAAATCAGTTTTTCACGAACAAAAAAAGTTAATTCTGATTAAAATTTTAGGTTTCGCACGATACATCCATAGAAACACGCACTCGCCACTTGCGGTGTGCGCCTGTCAGAACCCAAAGAAAGGCGGTCACGGAAAAAGGGAAGGAGAGTAAAAAAAAAGAGGATGCCCAAAGCGTCCCGGAGGGGATCTCTTGGTGGCTCTACCACAGCGCGAGTGGCAAATCCAAAATCATTCCCGTTTATGTATATATCTGAGAAAGACGTCGTTTGATACCCTTCTCCTCTTCCTCCACGCAACGGTGTCCGCATCCTTTCCATTTCTTCTACTGCTTACGTGATACCGCTGTTTCGTCTTGCGCGGTTTGCGTTGCCTCGCCGCCACCACGTTTGGGAGAGAATCTGCGTCTGGTGCACGCCCTGGCTCCGCCCGGTCCTTCCGTTGACCAAAGTCTCTATATATACGGCTGTGGGACTATTGCACCCCTCTGCAGCATGTATACACTACTGTTTCAAACCCACTTTAGACAGTTCGCCATAATCAGCTTTTCAACGTATACGTTGCTATATACATTATATATGTGCCGAGTGGTGGAAGTTTGAACTGAAAATATAAAGACATAAACTTACCTCGTTCAAATAAGCAATAAGCGAGTGTTTGGGGCGACCTACGGCGTTGTTTTGTAAACGGTGCCATGGTCATGTTTTTGCTGATTTCTGGGCTGCTGATAGATCACGCAACATTGGAAACATGAGGAATCAAAGCCTAAACCAATCATCTCTGTAAAAAAAAAAAAAAGAATGGGGGGAGGGGGGGGGGGGGGGCGGGAGGGCGTGGAGTTATGAGGGATTTAAATAGTTGTTTTTGAACTTAGTTTATTTTTGCTAAAAAAATATCGCACTTTGATGTTCTTACTTTAGAGATAGCGCGACGCGCTGAAGGAAGTCCAGTCAAAACTTTAAGATCCTCTGCAATGCTCAACGCCAGCGCGCTCTCGACGCTTAACATCTGTCGCAGCATTCCGCAGACGGGACGCACTCTATGCGAAACGCCGTCGTATGTTGCTTTTAGCGGGTTAATATTTAGTTCATATTTTTTATTGAACGAGGTAGGTTCCTTTGTTCATACTTCAATCTAAACTTCCGCCCTCCAGTCGTGCTTCTGTAGTAAATCGCAGAGCGACGTTTTGAGCGACAAATTCGTGCGTACCGTGGGAAGCGGGTTCGAGGCCTCATTGTACACGCTATATTCACCCAACTCTGCAACAGTCGATAGCACGAAGGAGCCAAGGTATTTCGTGCCTCAGTAAACTTCAAGTAGCGCGTTTATTTGCAATTCCGCAACGTACAGAAATTGAGAGATACGACATTTCTTTAAAAAAATACTAGTAATTGCAATACGTCCCTTAAATCCTGCGCAGGTTTTTTTATTTAGCATTAAATTCAACAGCAGAACGTAAAAATACTAAGAAAAACGAAAGTGTACAGGGATCAGCCTATAGCTGGCAGTAGCGCGTTTGTTTACAAAGATAGGCAAAGGAATAAACCTGACTCTCTGTATGTGTGCAGGCGGCCATATTTATGCAGGAGAGTGGCTACGAGAAAAAAGTCATCTGCGGAGGTGCTCTCATTTCTCCCAAGCACATCCTTACGGCAGCAGTCTGCGTCAGCGGCAGGAGACGGACGACGTGAGTTATAGGCTGATTTCATGCGTACGCGTTGAACATTAACGGACGAGGTTGATAAGATTATTATCCGCGCACCACCAGTATTGCCCCTGTTGAATGAGTGGTCAGTTTAGCCCACATCCGTGGTTCCCAGGTGCTCAAAGTCTTTTTTTTTTTAATTTCTTGATATAGTTATTTTCAGTGACGATCGGCAAGTTTCTAATTGGAGCAATATGTTCCATCTTCACGAATTAAAATTATAATTAAAGCTTTTAGTTAGGTAACCGAATTATCGTGACGGTTATATCCTCTCCACAGGGTGTTCGCGCCACTTCCGACTGCCATGAGAGTGGCAGAATATTACTTCCGGATCCCCCTATGTTTTCCTTGTGTGTGGGTGTGTGTCTGTCTTGTTTTTAAGTTCTCGATGCGCACCAGCACGATCAAAATGTCGCTAGTTGAGTTTCTCGCGACGAGAAATGCCGCCGAGGGCCGCCGAGCTTGAGTTACATCAACAGACGGTGTTAGGCTACATCAATGTGCTGCCGAGAGATGGCGCAACCCGACAAACCCGAGATTAGAGCGCCTAGATTGTAGAGAGGGTTCAACTGAAACTCTATAAGGAGCATTTGCAGTTTAATGGCGGACAGTTTCTGTAGAAAGTGTTTGCAAGTGCGCTGCGTCAACGCTGCGGTGCCTGAATCACGTCTTATATCTTGGGACTTTAGTATACGTCAAAATTGATCTCGAAATGGCAGCAAATTTGATCACTAAAGCCGGTACGTCATACTGTCGGATACCGTGATCCTGGCGGTTGGGTGTGGAAGTACAGGCAGAATGTATACGAACGAACGCAAGACGCTCTCGTTGCGGCATCCCAACTCCTGCACTTTTAGAAGAAAACGGTCTATACCTGTCTAAAGGTTCTTGTACTCTATTTCGTTTTAGAAAAGGAAAAACTTTCGTCCCTGAAAGCATGGAGGCTAAGTTTCTCCGTCGTCTGCATCTCAATATGGTGTCCCAGAATTGAGCGAATCAAGCACAATAAGGCTTAACGAATAAGCTATGTCGACCGTATTTTCTGGGCTATAGTCCGCGCACTTTACGTCTTACCTTTGCTATTCTTCGAGCCAGAATTCCTTCGTCAGCACCGCACATCACGGAGGAGAGGTAATCCATTAGCGAAACCAAAAGCCGCTCTCAAGAAAGTAAATTCGAAGCAGCCTCTTGGCTCATTTTCGCACGTTAACAAGAAAATATTGCGAAAAATGAAAGAAGGTAAAATCGCTCGCCACCAGATGCAGGGACAAGCAGATTAATTGCAAGTAGCTAGGCTAGGTGGTGCTAGGTACCGTCAAATTCATGGCTCACAAAAATGTTTGCTCACGATACACAGATCTACATACACAAGCATCAGCTGAACAGTTACGAGCTCATAGACAACGCATTCAAAAATAAACGTCAACGTACACTGCCCCAATTATTAATTCCGACCTCTGCGCTTCTGCCTCTTATACTAGTCGTTTTGAAAGTATGGATTTTCTTGATGGGCACCTAAGCAATAAATAATATTTCCAGCACGTTGCTTGTTCTCAGTAATGTTCTACTTCCGAATGTATTTTGAATGCTTCAGTGGATAAATCACTTAGTAAAATGCAAACGCTCATGCTGTAATTATTTACAAAAGACGACGAAACAAGCCAATTCACTGCGGTTCTAAGGGGTCTAGGACTTTTCGATGTATGGAGTTTCGGTGAAGGGCGTTTCGGTGTAGGACGTTTCGGTGCGGTCTTCTCAGGAGCACGGACGTTTCGATACATGGACAGTTCGGTGCATGGATATTTTCGGTACATAGACAATCAGAATACGAGATTTTTTTTTTTTATTTTCTCTATAGTCTTCTGAACAGCTAAAAAAAGTTACCTCACTAAAGATATTGAAAAAATGATATCGAAGTAATCAATTAATTTCAATGTTACTTTTATTCCAAACTTTGGGTGGCTTAAATACACATAAAAATTGAGGAGTTCCCTGTTTATTGGTTTTTTGTGGTCGTTACCTGGTCACTCACGTTTTGATCAGTTTCAATAGCAGTCGTCTTTCAACGTTCGCGACTTAGAAATATACCGTTTTCTACTCACTAATGGCGAATTCCACTGGTCGTTTTGGAGCACGCCAGGTTCAGTAGACCAGATCCGAGATGGGGCACGCGATCTGGATGAAGTCGCTCCGCCTCCGGATCCAGAATAAAAGGTGACCACTCCCCTAGGATTGGTGGATGCCTTCCCGTCATTCACCTTCCCGCGGTCCTGCTTCTCGAAGTAAATGATTTCGCATTAGCGGCGCTAACAACAGGCCTTCAACGCGAGAGCGAAGTTAAGCATGATGTGAAAGATGCGTGTCTATAAGCGATGTGCATCACCATAGCCCCCTTGCCTCTTCATCGTAATACTCGTGAATGGTGTCCAAGTACGTCTAGATTTTCAGCCTTTGCTGCGGTGGTCCAAAAAGACAGTCGAACTCGTGCGGGACATACAAGCGATCCTCGTCGTCACTGCTACTCGAGCCGCTGCTGCAGGAGGAGCAGCTCGAGCAACTTCACGACAACCTGTCATCAAGCAGCAGCAGTGAAGCGGGTGGCACTCCGCGAGTGATTGTTACGAAATTCTTCCGAGGCGAGATGCCCGGCGAGAAAGCAAGTCACGTGGGCGAGTCGAAGACTGGCCAGGCTGCGTCCTGGTCGAATCCGCTGAAATCGGCGAAGCGACTTTTCTCGAGTCCGAATCGAGATCTGATTGGAAGCGGATATAAACTGACGAGTAGAACATGTCCGTCTTAATCGCGATCGCCCAGTGAAATAGGCCCGCTCCAGAAAAGTCGATCCCGGCGCGCTCCTAAACGAGCAGTGGAATTCGACATAGGTTGGGAATCGTTCTTATTTCCAGTCGCTATCAAGCAAGAACCCCGCGCGCAGAAAGCAAGCGTGTTTTCTGCAGCTTTCAAAGGCTGAAGCAGGACTCTGTCCGGCAACCACTCCTATACTCCGTTCACCCTTAAGCTGAGCGGGGGAAGCTACTTCCTCTTGGGACCTGTCATACGCCTCAATTTTAAATATCTTTCTACAGATGTGTACGCACTGTCGAATCTGGCGGACTCTCCGGACAAGTTGAAAAGAAAAGGAACTTGACGAAACTACGAAAAGAAAGCCAATATTGAAAGAAACATTTTATTTCGAATTCTACCCCTGTTTTAGTTCGACGTGAGCGCGTCGGTGAAGTTAAATAAAAACAGAAAGAATAAACATAGAGAAGTCCGTACACCGAAATGAACGTACACTGAAATGTCCTTTCACCGAAAAGTCCCTGCACGGATAGGTCCTTGCACCGAAAACACCGCACCGAGGTGCTGTTCTGTCCGTCCCTATGTTTATTCTTTGTTTTTATTCATCTACCCTAGGCAGTCCGACAAATTGCCCTGGGGCACGTTGCCCTTTCCGACGAGTTTCCCCTTTCTGCTAATTGTCCAATGACCACACGGCTTCGCTATTTGAAAAGTTGGCATTTGAGTTGACCATTCGGGTTGACCAGGTCCCCCAGAAGGACATGCAAAATTAGATTTATACAAGGTTTATACATATGGTGACAGTAGTTTGTGTGAGATTGGCTGGTGTTGCATTTTAGAGAATTAACTCTAGATAACCATATTTGCAATATAGTTTCATCAAACTACTGCCACCAAATGTTGGGCGAGTAACTCTGCTTTTTCATTGTAAAAGTTTAATCATTGCCTTGTTATCAACTCAGCCATGGTTTCTGGTTTGCACTTTTAGTGATAATAAAAAAAACTGTACGTTTTGGGGCTACTTTGTCGTTCTTAAAGTTCTCTAACCACAAAAAAAAAAAAAACAGTGAACCGTGAACGCTGCTTTAAATTGAGAATTGCTCAAATCGAAGAGGTTGCAAGCTCTTAAAAAAAAAAATAAAACACAGTTACAGATATAAAAATTCAATTGTAATCTTAATAAATAATTTAAGCCACATATTTACGCCGAAATGTCCGTGCACCAAAAAGTCCGTGCACCGAAACGTCCGTGCACTGAACCATCTAACACCGAAAAGTCCGTGCACCAAAAAGTTCGTACACCGAAATGTCCGTACACTGAAATGTCCTTTCACCGAAAAGTCCTTGCTCCGAAAAGTCCGTGCACCAAAAAGACCGCACCGAAACGCCCTGCACCAAAACGTCCTTCACCGAAATGTCCGGATCCCGTTCCAAGCCATGTGTTTGTTTCCCCGCAAGGCACGTCGTAGAAAAGCGCGAAGTACGGCAGCTTTTCTATCGCGGTATCTGTTTTTTTTCTTGTTTTTGCGCTTTTCCCGTGAGGCTGCAATTGTAGTCTTGAAGTAAACTCTGTTGAGGGGGCATTTCATTAGCTGGGAGTTACGGCAGGTGTTGTGTACGGAGCTATGCCGTTGTGAGCTCGTAAACTTCTTGTGCCCATCCCAGCGCGTCACTTGGAGGGCAGTTTCTCCAGGAACCGTTGTATATTTAAACAGCAATATAAAGAATCGCTGTATTTGTCGTTTTTACTTATCATTCCCCCTACTGCTAGAATTCCAATCTGTAACTACTAAATATACGTAATTTCCGTAATATGTCAAGCCTGTTCAGTCCTTCCTCCAGAGCGTAATTGCTATCGTGGAAGGAACAACAAGACATCCCAGACGACAGTCACCTTCGCCACTCTACAATAGGAACTACGGTTGAGACCTGCGTTTTAACATGACTATCCGCAGGTCGATCGATTGCACAGTAAAGGCCCGTTTACACTCTTGCAACCGAGTACGAGCGAGAGAGACGAGATTTGTTAAAACCTCTCAAGATTTCTTAGGACGAGAGAACACACTGGCACGCTGGCGCTATATGTCCGGTGATCCTGGAACTGCATTTCGCAAAAGCGAAGCTTTTGCGGTGTTTCCGAGGTCAAATGTGCGTAATACCTATGAGAAAGGCTTGTTTGT